TGATTTCCAGTGCTGGTACTCCATAAATGGACTTCATTGATATCAGTGACAGTTTCAGGCACAGAGGGCTTGAAAGATCAAGCCTAAACCTTTGGATTTTATGTGTGGCTATTAACAAACAAAAAGCAATTGTTTTTAACTGCGTTTTTATGTTCTTGAAATTGCATGCCTGAACAGCAATGTATCTGTTTTAATGACATACTTACCCTGTACAGGATGGTATACATAGAACAAAAGCTGTATTACATCTACAAATACTTCTAGGAGACGTTTACCCTCAAAACCATGATCTCTCTCATGCAGTAGAATCTTGCCCATGGAATTATTCTTAAAGCACACCAGAGTGCTCGGATTTCTCAGAAAAGACTGAAATAGTTGACTACTGAAAAAAGATCTTCACCTAAATCCCTATTTTTTTTTTTACCCAATCTAATGCTGTATATAACTATTACATGGATAATCCTATATAACTAAAACTAAACTAGCCTTGTCAAAATGAAATAAGTCAAGTACATTCTGTGATGCAATATCCTTTTTACTGTGTGTGTTTTGTTCCCTTACTGATTCACAAATTCAGATAATCCACAATGGGGAAATAAGGTCTCTCCACAGTGATAAGTGCCTGATTTTCTGAGGGTGGTGGATGCTCGGCGATTTCAGAAAATCAGGCCTTTTATAGTGTGTGAATCGGGACAAAATGAAGGCATCAAAACCACAAATAGTTTTTAAAAATCTTGGCCTAATTGTTTAATCTTTGCTTTGGTTTTTTTTTTTAAAGCCAAAACAGTACTCTGTAATCTAATGTTAAACATCTCAGAAGAAAGGAAATGTCAGTATGAGAAAACCTTTCCTCTCTTATCTCTACTCTGGCATGGGGCATTAGCCCTTTCTGGTGTTTAGGAATTTACTTCCTGACAAATATCAATGAACTCTAGGTTGTCTGTCTCTCTCTCTCTCTCTCTCTCTCTTTTATTTTTATTTTTTTTTAAAGAATGCCTGTGGTCATCTAGCTTTGAAAAATCCTGCATTTCAAACCAGCAATTTTCCTTGTTTACGCATTAAAAGAAACAGATGGTGAGCCCACAAACCATCTATTCCAACATTCTCAAAACATTGCAACCAGTGAATGCATGCAGAGCAACTAACAGGGACCAGATTTGGCTCTGGTGAAACATGTAGTGAACGTACAGCAAACTCACAGCATTAAAAACAAAGACAATTGAGCTGGAAGTTTGTTCTGTTCTTACTGAGGGCCATGCTCCTCCAAAAGCAATTGCTTGGCCCTTTTCCATGCCAGCTGTGTGTTCTTTACCCAGGAAAAAGAGCTGAATATCCATGTATTTTGTAAAGTATCCAGGCCAAGGGCTCATTAAATCCCTTTTCCTTACACATAAGGGAAAACGCTATATTTCCAGCCTTAAATACTCAGCATTAAAATGGGATAAAGGCTGCAATAATGTTCTTACAATATGTAAAAATAGGCAGATTTTCATGAGTCCTGCAGGTGGAGGTGGATTTTAAAGTGCAACGGACTTTTCATGGAAAATGTTAAATGTCATTAGGCCAAATTTTATTCTCAATTTCACTTGTGTAAAGCTAGAGTAATTCCACTAACACCAATACAATTATTTTGGATTTCCATTGGCTTGAGCGAGAATGGAATATGGTTTATTAGTAAGATACTTATGCACTATTTTCAGTGCTTTGTCATGGTGGGTGCATATCTTTGCCCTGTTTTACCAGTAAGCAATCAGGCAGGTTAAGTGATTTGACCAAAGTCATTGCAGAGAGCAGAGCTAAAAATAGAACACAGCTGTCCTAATTCCCAGTCTCAGATCTGTAGCACAGATCCCTACTGACTCTTGCAGGTTGGTGATAAAGTAGCAATTCAGCACATATGATCTTCTTTATTTTTAGTCCATCTGGGGCAGAGGAGTAAAGAGTTTTTCATAAAAAATATAACAAAAGGATATTTTTGTTAAGGTTTAACAGCACAACCCTTACTGGTGCTGGTGGGAGAGCTGTACACCTCCTTTCCATCAGGTTAATCTGTGCCTGCTGCTAATTCCCCATTCCTTTGCCCTGGCCCAATCTTCTTTCTATTGAAATCAGCTGGGATTTGCCATTGGCAAA